CCCTGCATACCCCAAGCCTGGCACTGTGTGCATAATACACTGACATCAAGGATTATCACTTAGTTTGGGGAAACACATAGGACCTAAGCAGGACCTGTGTGTGTGTGTGTGTGCGTGTGCACGTGTGCGTGCGTGCGTGTAAATGCCACACCCAGATTCGTTTGCACAATTAATATGAGTTAATAATTATTTTAAAAGGCATACAGACTTAAATGGAAGAACTAAAGCTATTTCTATTTATTGAAAAACAAGCTCACTTGCAGATCATAGTGCATTTGATATGTTCAAGGCTCTGAGGAGTCCTGCCTGGATGCCCACTGGCTTCACACAACTGTGTTTCTCCAACAAGTTTCTACCTATTTAATGTTTTTAAGCAACAGCTATTGGTGTCTTTTAGGCAACAGAACCAGACACTGCTGTACTCTAAAAGCTTTTCAGGTGGTTGTGCCACGTAAACATGATTGAACGCATGGAACCCTGCAAAGAAAGAGCGTGGACACGTTACCTGGCTCCCCCTCCCACCCCTGTTCAATGGTTTTAGGGTCAGGCTCAGGCATCCGCCTTTTTGAAAAGGCTCCCAGTGAGAACCAGTGTGCAGACAGGGCTGGGAATCACCGTCTGATGCCAGGGGCTCTGCCCGTGACTGCAGTCAGCTTTAATCAATGTTCTACTTTAATTCTGTGATGCCCGTGTCATGCTCTGTTATATTTTCACTTCAGACATATTTCACTGAGTAATAAAAAATAAAGGGAGAACAGTTGGTGAAAATTTACTCAAGAAATTAAGTTTGTCGTTAATACAAATGACGTACCATCTGGATAAGCTAGGAGGTTCTGTTGCTAACGCATGCTTTCAAGGGCTGCATAATTTTTATTATTAAGCCCGTTAGCAGCGGCACTTAATGTACAATGTACATGTATTTTGATTAGACAAGGATGCATACTAATTAAGCAGCTACTTAGTAGTTATTATCATTCTTGACTATTCACCTTTCACCTATATTCAACTCTTCCCTGAGGAGTACCTGGGGATCTAATCCAGACACAATTCTTACGGGTAGCAAAGAAAAGCAAAAATAATGATTCCTTTGAATTGAGTCAGTGATCTCAGATCTCAGCTACACATGCAGATCTGTTTCCAGATACATGGACTACTGTGCTTGTAAAAATCTTCCTCTGTTTATGATTAACATATACCCACATATGCACATTGGCACACACACACACACACACACACACACACTCACACATTCACATATGCACATTTACACACACAGGCAGTTCAGTGAAAATGGACCAAGCATAAGTTCTACCCACAATTTTGACCATCATTAATTTGACTGGATTTTTAAATAATTCTTTGGCTCTTGATAGGAGACCTATATTATTGACCTTGTGACATTTACTGGCAGTTTTGAAATTCATCATGTCTTAGTTACTTCTTCATTGTTGGGACAAAATATCTCACACCAACTCTAAGGAGGAAAGGTTTATTTTGACTCACAGTTTGTAGAGGTTTCAGCCCAGGATCACCTGGCTCCAAGGCAGGACAGCATGTCAGAGGGATACTACAGAGCAAAAATAGCCCATAGCATGGTAGAGGAAGCAGAGAGAGATCAGGGAGGAGGAGGGCCACACTTCCAGTGACCCACCTCCTCCACCACCAGGCTTCACTTCCCATCATCACATTCAGCCATACACTCATCAGTGGATGAATGCACCAATGAATATCACACACCCATGATCCAACCACCTTCCAAAGCCCCCCCCCCATAAGCACATGAGTCTTTGGAGGGGGCATCAAGATAGAAACTACAGCAATGTCCCAGTAGAACTTCTGTTTTAATTTTTGTTCAAACAGTAAGTGCTTGGAACAACTTGGAATAGGCAAAGACAACTTTTGGGGAAACAGTTAATGTACTCATGCATAAAACTAATTTTGAATGATATTCTACTTTGAGATGCATGTGTTTCCAGTGAGTCAGTGTTGTTCTTCCCTGTTAGAAGTACAAATATAGGTTTAGTTCCAGAAAACACCACCGCAATAAAATCTGCAAGCTGAAAATCAGTCCACAAACTATTTGCTTTTACACACAAAGATGAGATTTACCCTGTGGGATTTAAATGCATTATTTTAGTATTTTTCTTTTTCCCCAAATGCAGAAAACATAATGTGCAGTACAATGTTCAGATATGTTATAAAGGACATGTCATGTCATAAGAGGGAACTACTATAGAATACTGCAGCTTGGACATGCTAGAGGTTCAATAGAGAAGCTGTGTCCTTTATAATCCATTTGACCATATAAACAAAAAGTTAGGTTCCTCCATCCAAAGGCTCAGAAGCTCCTCCTCCCTAGAATCAGCAGTTCAGCAGACTGCTGAAACTTCTCTGGACAAGCAGAAGGAGGAGACCCAGAGTACAGCCTCTTCCTGCTCCTTTACTGTGCTATGCCTTTGTCTGCAGAGTTCCAACATTATTGAAAAGTCCAAGCCAAAATCTCCTCTGAGACTCAAGGCAAACAGCTGTGAGTTTCTGTAAAAAGAAAAAGAATTAAATACTTCTGACATGAAAAGGTATAGGGTAAACATTCCTATTCCAAAAGGGAGAAATAGGGTGATAGAAAGGAATGGGACCAAAGCAAGACCAAAACCCAGCAGGGTAAACATTTAGTCCTAGAGCTGTATGTTCAGCATCCAGGGGAGGTTATGGGAGCTCCAAATGGCTTGTGCAGGTCCAGCCCTACAGCCCTGCCAATTGCAGCCCACATGGCCTCTCTCTTGAGTTGGCTTTGCTTGCTGCCTGCAGCTTTCTCCAGCAGATGATCCACATTCTTGGCCTCTCTGATGTCCTAGGGTCTCTACTGCAATCGTGACTTCACTCTCACATCTTCACACATTGCCCTGTCAGGGGCACACCAGCTGGCCTCCCAGGCCTTCCTTTGAAATCTGGGTGGAACTCTCCAGGACCCCATAGCTCTTGTGTTCTGTATGCCTGTAAAACAAACACAGCATGGGTGACACCCAGGGCTACTGCCAGTGCAAGCAGTAGCCAGGCTCCCTGGACCATGACTACGGTGACCTCTGAGTGTCTGCATGGCTAAGCATAGGGAAATGAATCCTGGGGCACTGGTTCTTTAGGTTACCCATCTCGAGCAGGCATCCCAGAGAATCTCTTCTTTCATTTAGAAAGCTTTACAGATTTTTTACTCATGAGCCTGCAAAGGATAGTGTCTGGCTAATTCTGGAGATTCCTTCTAGGGGTCTTTCCTGATTATTCTGATGCTAAGTATTTAATGCTAACCTTTTTTAGTAATTATACTCTCAAAGCTGTCCTCAGCTGAAGCTTTATAGGGGTTTCTTTTGTAAAAAACTGGAAATGTTTTTTATACCTTTTAGATTTACTTTTTTGCTCCTGATTTTCATTGTGGATGTGGCTATCACCAGCCAGCAGTACTCAGGTCACAATCTGAACGTTGAGATGTCTTAAAATTTCCTGCTGCTGATCACCTGGGAGGTGGCTTGTCTCACTGATTCATGGGTGAGACATAAGGGACCCTTATGTGTGGGCTGAAGAGAAGAAAGGATTTCCCAGCAGAAGGACAAAGTATCTAGAAGAGGCTTCCAGTCCCCGTGCTAGACCTTAGGTACTTGGAGAAGAGGAACCAGGCAATCTTCCCAGAGAAAATTCTCCCAACTGCTCTTTCTAGTCTCACATTCTATACATAAGCTTTGGCCCTTTCTTCATAGGGATATAGGATATTTTGTGTTCAGTAAAATCTTAGGCAGTGTTCCCTTCACAGATGAGCTCCAGTTTCCTTTGGGAATCTTTCCTGTTGTTTCAAATCTCTACAGACCATTCATCTTCAGTTAACTGTAGCAAGTTAATGAACACTAAATGTGGACAAACTCTGGACTTTACCTGGTGTGACGCAGGGCTCGGGGGCATTCGGAGGCCTGTGAGGACCTGTGTGACTGAAGGAGCCCCCGGGAAGTGGCTGTGGTTAAAGATGAGGTCCACAGGTCAAGCCCCAAATGCTTTGGTGTGAGGAGGTAGGAGTGGAAGAAGAATCAGGCGGGGACAGAAAAGGAGCAGTGACCAGCTGAGAGCCGGAATTCCTCTCCAGAGAAACAGTGGAAAGTTCAGACATTGTCAGGCAGGAGGAGTGGTAATAAAAAAACAAATATTGAGCACTGAATATCGAGGTTAGAATACGCACATCCCTGGTGACTTCTGACCAAGTGGTTTTGTGGCACTGGGGCGAGAAAAGTGTATTAGGTCATCAAGAGAAAGCAGGAGGAGAGTTTAAGTAGAAGGAGCTTCGGGATGTCTGGATGGGAATGGAAACTGGGAAGGAGCTTAGAAGGGAAGTAAGATTTCACTTTGTTTAGAATTTAGATTTTTAACTTTTAAAAATATTTTCAGATAAAGAAATTTTTGCTTTTTCTAATATTAAGAATTTAAGACTTTCAGCGGTAACATGTGTGTCTGGTTGGAAATATCTTGTGGAAAGAGGAAAAACGGACATTTGGTGAGATTGCCCTGATAAATCTGTGGTTTTTGTGGCATCTTCCTACCTTTATTATTCCTGGGGAAAACCCAAGTGCATGGCTCGCACGCAACCACAATAGGGCGCAGAGCCCTGCACCCCTCTGCCCTGGGGCCTTACAGCAAACTTGACTTTCACCTCTGTTGAAAGGAGCCCGAATGTATCTGCCCTTGAGGAATATTTTTTAAATGATTAAATGTGTTTGAGAATCAGTCTTTGTAAGCTAATGCTGTAATTATGCCCTTTGCTGTTTTTAATGTCCTCACTTTAACTGGAACAGACAATGTGACATCAAAAGCAGCTGACTTCGCGGGCAGAGCTCCGGGCTTAACGGACTAATGTGTCACAGCGCTCCTGGGTCAGTCCTCTGCCGGGCTGTAACAGTGTCGCACAGCAGGCAGCTCTGCACCTCGCCTCACGCTCTGTATTGTTTTCTTCTTCCCCACAATAGCTCTGTGTCAACATGACCAACGAGCGGGTGCACCACTATATCAATGACGTGCTTTTCCTACAAGAGCAAACAGAATGTGTACAAGAGGGAGTTACCATGGAAACCACATATTCTCCTGGTAGCCAGGCTGGAGTTTTGGATTTCTTTTTCCAGGTATTCATATAATATAATTAGGTACTTAATAGGATACATGCATGTAAAATGTACTGGAGACAAAGAATTTTCCTTCTGAAGGCTTTGTTTTTGAGGTAGCTTTTTATATATAAAACCTTGCAGTGAATTTATAACATTTCCAAGTCTACTGAGGAGCACAAGTTATCCTTTCCTAAAGGGGCATTTGAGAGATAACCAATTCATTCAAAGGACAAGAAGCATATGAACACTTAAATGTAAAAATTTTTCAACATTTTTCACTTGCTATGACTAATACTCGGTTTTGGCAGTTACACGTGACCACTGTACAAACTTTACATTTAATAAGATAATTTTAAGACAAGTGATATTATGAAACAAATTCAGTAGAATGCTCTTTATTTGCCTTCAGTTTCTAAGATCTAAATTTTGGAAGCCTGGTGGGCAAAGTGTATGCGTATATAATACTTGGTTAAATTTAAGAGGCTTGGAAAATCTGTAGGTGTTCATACTTATCTTTATTGTTTTAATTACAGTGAAGCTTTGACACAGGAATCATTATATACAAATACAAATTTTTCATACAACAGCAGTTTCTCTCTCTCTCTCTCTCTCTTTCTCTCTGTCTCTCTCCCCTCTCCTCCTCCCTTCTCTCTCTCCCTACCCCATAGGGATGAACCCAGGGCTTTTGTAATAAGCTACCTCCCCATCCCTTTTCTGTGTTTTTCATTATTATTATTATTTTTAGATACATTTTTGCTAAGTTGCCCAGGCTGAGCATGAGCTTGCAGTCCTTCTGCTTCAGCTAGGATTACACATTGGGTGGGGCCAAAACAGTGACCAAAACCAGAATGATATTCTTTTTGTGTCTGTATAAATGTAATAAAACCAAAATAAGCATGCCTGAACTGTATCAAAAATGCCAACCTAGGTGACAGAGGAAAAAACTCTGTCTTCCTCATTCTCAGAAGCCATCAGGATTTCTCTCTTTGTTGGATGAAGAAAGTCAAACCATCTGGTCGGCGGAACCAACCCTTCCAAAGAAGCTCCAAAGTCTGCTGGAATCGTCGAACACAAATGCAGTGTACCCGCCTGCGAGGGACGGGAACGGGAACGTGGCACTCCGGGGTGCGGGCTCCGCCTTCACAGTCATGCACTACGCGGGACGGGTGAGTGACGGGGCCGCGGGGCCTGTGGCTTGCCCTGCCGAGCCGTGGTCCCAGGAACAAGCTTTGGACGTTTGGGTGCCTTGGTGTGTGCGATTCTGATCAGGACGCTGGAAAGCGACCCACAAAGTTGTACTTTTGTATGCGACCTGCTCTCAGTGTGAGGAATGATCTCCACCCCCAGCATGGTGTGGAGAGTGGGGTGCAGCCCCGCATGGCTTTCTAGGGTTACCGTTTCACAGGAGCGCAAGAGCCTGGGGATTCAGGTACACAAAGCACCGCTGTGCGTCTTGAGGTCTCTTCACGATGCAAGCATCTTCCCGGTGACTGCACTTGCTGCTCCCTGGTGCAGTGGAGTCCTGGGGTCCTCTTCTTGGAGCGTGGTGGCCCAAGACAGCGGCTGCCCTCACCCCTCCTGCTTCTCGGCAGGTTAGAGAATCGTGCTCCTCTCTCCCACGCTGCCAGGATTCCCCGCCTGGTACCCTCCTCACATCCGAAGTGTCGGCCCTGTCACCACCCCCACACAGACCCCTGCTTAGGGTCTTGCTCCCATTCACTCGAATCCCCGCCCCCAGAGCTCCTTCCCACCCAACCTTGAACTTTCGTCCTTGTCTTCATAGGAAGACCATATTGTGTTCATCTTCTTGCTCGTTTTCTTCTCTTAATGCTGGGATTGAACCCAGGGCCTTTGCCCTGAGCTACCGCCCCAGCCCTTTCAAAATTGTTTTATTTTGAAATAGGGTTTTACTTGGTCACTAAATTGCCTATGCTGGGCTTGAACTTGCCATCCTCCTGCCTCAGCCTTCCAGAGGCTGGGATTTCAGGCTTGTGCCACCTTGCTGGGCTTTTGTCCATCTCTGAATACTTAAATCCATGTCCATCTGTCTCCAGTCCCACTCCCGTCTGCAGTTAATGATGCCACCTTGGTGTCTGCCCCTGTGTCTTTGGCCACTCTGGCACAAGCCCTTAGCAGGACTTAGGTACTGGAAGAGAGAATCTCGACCTCCTATTTCAAAGGACCCGGTTGCATGGGACAGAATCCATACCAGCCGCTTGGGCAGCAGAGGACTGAGAGCAGGAGCAGATCTTTGCGGGCTCCCAGGTGATGCTGAAGGAGCTCCCTGAAGACCGCGCCCCAGAACTGAGCCACTCAAGCCAAATATCCCGTCCGAAGGGGACCCCTGGCAAGGCTGAGATGCGGCTGCTGTAGAGTAGTGTTCCCATTACTGCTGCCACCTGCCCGGGTGACATCTCGACGCCCTGGCGCTCAGCACAGACACATGAGCATCTAGAGCGAGGGCTAGCCACGCCAGCACCAGAGGAGCCCAGCGGTGTGTGACAGGCTTGCCTGGACAAGGGCCCAAGCCACACAAGAGTGGCCTCTGCCTTCCGCCTGCACAGGCCTGGTCACAGCAGCTGAAGGTGACAGTTCTGAAGTTGGCTCCCAACTGCGGAGGCTTCTGGGAAGGCTGCGCGGTCCACCAGCCACTGACGCCACATCGACAGGAGGGGAGCGAGTGCGGCCGGTGCAGGAAGAACGGGAGGCGGAATCCCTACAAAGGCTGCTTTGGGCCAAACCCCAAATAAGTCTGCACCGCCACGAGGACTTCATCCTCTTCACTCGTAGCTTATACAGTGCTTTAGGCGGGAGGACAGCGCTGATGACAGTGTGCGATGCTGGGCTGTCAGAGGTTGGCTGATTTGCTGATTTTAGGAACCTGTGCTTGGAAATGTGTATCTTGATGGTTTGAAAGGTGGAAAAAAAAAATACTGAAAAGAGCAGTCGGTCAGAAACCCTGAGAAAAGGGCATCAGAACGCGTGCTGGTGATGTAGCAGGCAGGCCCCAGTGAGCCTGTGAGTGGGATCGACAGGAGCTCAAAGATGCATGGGGCGGCTGCTGCTTGTGGAGAGGAAGTTGGTGGAAAGGTTTCAGTGTCCCTGGACGGCTACTGCTCACTCCCTGTTCTCTTCCAGAGACTGAGCCTTTGAAATTCTTTGTAAAAACAGGAATCTTTTAGTCCTGTGTCCAGATTTTATATTCATACTTTCAACATGTATTGAGCTTGTGACAACTGCGTAAAACTTTACAGTGGGGTATCGTGATTTCAGGAAGTTATTTTCCTTCACCTTTTAGGGGAGCCATGGGAAGAGGATATAGATCTAACCAGCCCTTTCCGTCTGTGCCGTGTGGAGACTACTAGATATTAAATAAAAGCTAACTGCATTTTAATGGGGGGGGGAACATGGTTTAGAATCTTAGTTTTCTGATTTATATTCAGTTTGAAAAAATATTCTAGCACTTAATAGAATTTCAACTTTAGCTGCAATTGTTTCTAGAAAATTTGGGTTGAAAGCAAGCCATAGTTTAAATTAGTAGAATTATTGCACTGGTTTCTGTTGGAAATCAGCCCTTAGAGTGACAGCCTAGTGATCAGTTGGTGCTGATCCAAAGTCCTCATGGAATCATGGGTTTTCCCATGAAAACACATTTATTTTTAAGCAAGTTTTCCATAATTAGAGTCAGTTCTGCGGTTTTATGAAATCTTTCATTTCAGGGAGATGTATTAATGCTTCTTAGCCAAAGGACCCCTAAGGACAAATTCATATGTTAGAGTGCAGATTATGTGTAATTTGTGGCAATATGTCACCCACATGCCTTTTGAATCACCCAGAATAGCTGTCCGTGCACTTAAATCCTGAGCTATGACACTAAAAAACAAAAGCAGCATATTCTTCACTTTGTAAGTCAAGGTGGATAGAAAAAGCTGAATGCAGGGTTTATTTTTGATGGCAGGAAGAAGAGTCCAGAATAATCTCTGACAGTAAAGTTGACCCCCTGGGAACACTTGTGACCCTGTGTGCTCTTGAATTTGTGAGCAGTCTCTTTGGCCAGATGGAAGGGCTGGGCCGTGTCCCTCACCACCACCTGTTCCTCCCGGTGGTTCACTGGGTCTTTTTATTTCACATCTCCCAGGAAGGGCAGCGGTTGCTACTTGTGGTGATCCTGACAGCCAGGCCCACCTGGGGAACTCGCCTGTCCTGACAGCTCCAACTGGGAGCCTGGGCCCTGCTTCGGAAGCACGTGGATGTGGAGGCTCACAGGTCCTTTTAGAAATGTTTAAGCAACGTAATTTGAATTATAGCTGAAGAGCTTCCCTAAACACATTTGAATTTTTCATTACTCAAAGGAACATGGTGTATTTTCCAATCTCCATTACGGAAATATTTTAAAGTAAATGGTAAGAGGCTGTGCATGGCATGAAATATTAATAAGTTCTCATTAATGAGCATAGACTTGAATTAAAGAAGGCTTGTGGGGTTTGTGTTTTTTTTTGTTTGTTTGTTTGTTTGTTTGTTGTTGATTATTTGCGTTTGCAAATTTCAAAGCATGTCTGGGATTGCCTGTTTTAGGGATTGCTCTTAAACTGCTGTCTTAAATTACAGAGAAACATTTAACCCAGAATTGTATCTAATTTTATTGACTGTTAAAAGTAAGAATCTTGAAGGGAAGGAGAATTACAGCTTGACATTGGCTCTTAGGAGACTTGAGTTTCCATTAGAGCAGTTCTCAGCCATCTGGAGTAGGAAGTAGTATTTTAAAGTTCTTAAATTTTGATGCGAGGAAAGCGAATGGATTACGAGAAAGTAAACTGCTCTGAAGTAATAAAGATTGAGCTAATGAAAATGTAAGTAAAAATTAATAGCTGTGCAGTGTGTGGCACATTGTGTGCCTTGACTGCGTCCCGGTCATACCACTTCCTTGGAAGTTACTGTAATTTACTTTACGATACAGCATTTCCATCTGGATCTCACATCGCTGCCCCCTGCAGGTACCCGGTGGCCCCTGGGTATTGAATTAGCACTGTTCTCGTGACCCAGGAGGATGTGTCTGCGTTTCGTCTCTGTGTCCCACAAACACATCAAGCGTTGGAAAGGGCTGGGTGATGGCCTCCAGAAGATATGCCCAGGTCCTCACCTGTGGAAGCTGGGCACGTGGACTTGTTTGGAAAGAGGGTCTTTGTATAGAGATTTCCTGAGCTAAGAGTTTGGTGACCAGGAGATCACCCTAGGTTTTGTGGGTAGGCGCTAAGCCCAGTGGGAAACACCCAAAGGGAGGTTTGGTCATGGAGGAGGCACCATGATGGTTGAAGCAGAGCCCAGAGTGCCATGGCCACAGCTGGGGGACATGCAGAGCAGCAAGGAGCAGGACTGGGGTGGTTGAGGAGGGAGGGCTTTGGGGCCTTGAGCTCAGGCATTTGGGATGTGAATACTGTCGGCTCCTCAGTCTCCCAAGGGAAGCAGTTCCAGGCCTGTCCTAGTGTGTTGCTCCCAGCAGCTGGAGCTCTCTGGTGCTGGTAAATGTCACCCAAGCTCAGTGGCCAGCATGCTGCCTGTCCCTCAGTGTCTGAGTGTCTCGTCTTCTTGAAAGGACTTAGTGCCCAGCCTAGCAGGCCCTCCTCTTGATTTAACTAATGACATCTGTAAGACCTTTCTGTGGTTCCAGGAGAACCTGAATTTGGGGACACCCTTCTGCCCATGGGTGGCTGGTAGGTGGAAGAGCCTTAGCTCACTCCTCAGGCCCCTGTGCTTCCATGTCCCAACCTCATAGCGGGGTGAGTCTCCAAGCCCCACTCATGGAATCCATGTGGTCTACAGAAGAGGGATTGGCCCACCGGACCAGGTGGGCTTCCACACCAGTGCTGGGTGACATTAAGAAGCACAAGGACCCTTGGTGGCCATGAAATTTATAATTAAGAAAAATGTAGTAATGACTCTCACAATCTTATTCTGAAAGTTAAGTGGTGGGCTATTGATCAATGTGGAGTTGATTAATTTTAGACAGAATGCTTCCAAAATGTGAGTCACACCTCCCCGAGAAGAGGTCAGGGTCTGCAGTTCAGGAATGTCAGAGGGTTGTGCAAAGTCTTGACCTTATCAGAGATATTAAGCAGTGGGAAATATTTCAGGGCCCATTGAGTCAATTTGCTGTTTTCAGATGAGA